CCCTACGTATTAACGCGTTTATATCTTTCGCCGCTTGTATAGAATTCTGCACGTTCCTTAATATTGTATATGTGTATTATATATACTTAATTTTTATAAATGTATTCAATTTATTTATCATGTACAAATATATGTTATCTTTAAAAGTACACATTATAGCAAAACAACATTTTATATGTAAGCTGTTTGATTGAAAAGGAGAAAAAGATAGAAATGTTAGTTTGATTTATGCATCAAAATTACATGAAAATTAACTTGAATCTTTAAAATAAAAACTCATGATTGTTATATATGACAATGTTTTTATTTATGAATCCCAGCAATTTTGTCCAAAACTTTTACTTATAATATTTAGTTAATAATTTCAGACTTGCAACATTTTTAATTCATATACTGTTCAGTTGTTTATATATTGTAAACACAATACTAAAAAAATTTAATTTCTGATTCTCGTAAGAATATAATTATTATTCTTAACAATGTTGATTTTCCATACTTAAGGCTCTTATTCACTCATTCCTGTTACCTCAGATTACTACGTCAGAAGCGAGAAAATACAATAGGAGGGTAGAAGTATGCGTTCAAACTTTCGCTTGTAATAAAAATTTATCTAAAAAAATCATAACAATCACATATAAATATTTTCCTTATTGCGGAAAGATTAAAATCAGTGGCGGAGGAGGTACGAAGATTTATGTCGCAACCGTCATTTAGAAATTGGGGATTCGATGTGCATGCTTTAGTTCGTTTGTGCTCTGAACGCGAATGTTCGCTATCCGAACATTTATAAGGCCCCCGTTCATTGTAACGCCTGTTGTGGACCCCGCGTGTAACCGGGCCGACCGCTCATTGTCGCGTCCCGCTTCTCGACAGGCACAAAATTCGCGCGTGCCCGCGGCTTGCTGGCCGCAGACAATGGCGACAATGACCGCTGGGTGGACCATTTAGCTTACAGGCGACCTGAGAATAGTGACCAGCCGAACTGCGGAAAACGGGTGTCCTTTCCGCATTTCAAGGTGCGACCTTTTAGGCGTCGAATTGCATTGCTCGCAGACGTTGATCTCTCTGTCAATCGATATATTGCTGTTAGATATAGAAACGTGTATGACGTTTGGTTCATCAAAGCGATTCGTAAATGTTACGTGTGTAATTTTTATAGATATTTAGCAATTCTATTTATCTAGCTTTAAAATCATTGCTTTTAAATTGTTCTAGTTAGAAATTGAAATTGAAATTTCATTTGGAATATTAGAGTTTATATGATCGTTTTTCTTTTATAAGTATTTTCTGTATTGAATTTTCAAATACTTGAAAGATTTTTTAAAATCTTTTCATTATCTAACAAATAATCTATTCACTTTACTCAATCTCATTTGAAGTTTGGAGTTTTCAAGAATTCAACTTAACATGAATTTATGTTTTTGATTTTCTGTGTCTGTATTACTGCTCGAGGCCGAAAACATAAAGAGCGACGTAAATTCAGCAGGAGCTCTTTCGACCAAAAATGCAAGGATTTTAGCAAGAGCCAAAAACTGAAAAGCACCAGGGGCTCTCTTGAATCTGGCCGCCACTTTCAATTTGGAAGCTGCTTTACGGTTTACCGCTTGCAAACCGCTTCCGTCTGTAGAAGAGAATAATACTGAAAATAATAGAGAGAGTTTCCAATGTCCAAGCATATTTCGAGCGTTCTCCTTTGTGGTGGCGCAAATGCGCATAACAAAAGAATGATCTCGGTATTAATGGAAGTAGACAAACATTTTGAGATGAATATATGATATGCGCAAAAATGACAACGTACTTTACTAAAAAATTATAAGTTATATGCAAAAAGTTATAACAACCAGTTTATCTTTTATTTTGTTGCCCAGTGTAGAAGCTTTAAATAATATATCTCTGGAAATTGGAACGCGAATCTATCTCGAGGTGAACGTTGTATATTAAATAATGATTGTTAAATACATAACCGCATCAATTTTAATACACCTCCAGATTCGTTGATTTCTTTGAAAAGGATGAACGTGATTACGTGTGTTTTGCACATTTGTAAACAATATGTATAAGTACAAAACATGTTTATTTGCTTATATAAATCCCTATATTCATCACAAACGAGGTTCTTTTGTTCATTACTTTTCGAAAAATCGACGATTTGGGTAGTCTATTAAAATTAATGTATAGTGTATGTGTTGACGAATCAGTTTCAAAACAGCATTATCGGTATGCATCTGATATCATAATATCGTGACCTTGCGTGCGTATTTTGTTTATTTCCGGATATCAGATATTATTCGGCTGTTAGTTCTGTTTCTTCAAAACTGCAATTTTCAACAAGATTTTTATATAAATAAATATAAATATAATGCATGCAAGCGCTGAAAGTGTTTATAACAACAGGTGGACTCATTTCTGTGCAAAGCACATGCATCACGTTCATCCTTTACAGAGAACTCAACAAATCTGGGGATGTGAAATTAATGAGCGGTAGTGTAATAATGATTGTATATATAATGATTATTATTAAATAATAATTATTTAGTAATGATTTTCTTCCCTTTATTTTGTATTACACTTCCTTAGTCGGTGCTATGTTCAATACATTGTTACGCATTTCTATTTGCTGCAGCGGCGCAGTTTGGATAGAATGTCATTCCTCTCTCGAGAAGTTACTTTTCACATCAATGATTTGCGTCTTGCAATAGAATTTAAATATACAGTTGCGACAGGGGTCTCAAGAAGTTATCTAGGAGTGCACCCTATGCACGAGCGCCACGGCGTCGACAGCTCACTTCGTCGACGTGTTTTTCTGCATTCCATAGCGTTGGTCGATTTCCTCTGTAAACACTCTGCTCAATCGCGTCGTGGAATAAGGCGACTGCGGGCAACGATGATGGCGCGGGTCAAGCGGGATCCGCAAGCGCTGTTTTCGCGGATTCCATCATCGGGATACCGCGGCATCGCATCAGGAATTTCTGATCGGAGAACGACGGTTTCCGTCTACGTTGTAACAAAACCGGTTTCTCTTTATGACGGGATATCTACGGTTTCTTTCTCTCCCTCTTGGTCAGTTTGAAGTTCGTCTTTCCCACCTTTGCGTCGTTGTTTTTTTTTAGCAAAACGCAATTGTGATGAAGAGGTGAAGGATTTAAGCATTACGTTGGAATTGAAAAAAAAGAGTTGCTTTTCTATTATGCATGCTGTCTCTCTGTAAGAAGTATATATGACTTTGTAAAAGCTTGAAAAGTTTCTTGTTTGAGAGTTACAAAAAAAGTTGGGATAATGAATGAGTGTAATTAAGGAAGGACGCTATTCTGTAATATTTTTTTATATTGATGATGATTATTAAGTTAGGAAAAGGAAGTCAGTTGAGGATTTTACTGCAACAATAAGCTAATCAATAATGTAGCTGAATACGTGATATTGAAGGAAATAGATCAGTGACAGGACCTTCCATTGTCCTAATATTGGACATATCAGATATATCAGACTTTATTTTTTGAACGTATCTTTAGAGTTTATTTTTTCCATTTTTGTAAAATGGATTAGTCCATTGTTATAAGATCTTCAATGATAGTACCAATTCTTTTGACTGGATATATATCTAGACATTTTCCAAATACATGACTCCATTCTTCTCTGAATCCAAATTTTAACGTAATGTTAAATAATTCGAAATATGTATGACTATTTATTTCAAAGCGTTATAAAAACTCTTTTTGAATAATTTAAGAGAAATATTACTGTAGAAAGATACATTCGAGATCTTATTTCGCTTTTAAAATATGTGGTTTCTACAATAAACTTTACATATAGTCATACAAAAAATTCATTATAAAACGAAATTTCGTCGACGAAATTTTATCCCGGAGGAAACTTTCAATTAATCAGAAATTTCGCGTTTTTCAGCAGAGAAAAAGAAACATTTTTCCTTTTGTTGAGGGAGAAAAAATATTGTAATATTTCAACATGCACAATTTATGATTACCCTAGAGGTTACGACAATGCGAGGTACAGCGGCGCCGGCTTCCTTCTCCCTTGGTCTTCCTTCTGCCCTTCTCAAGCAAACCCGTTCGTCGGTTCGGGAGTGAACGCTTCGTCACAGCATTCACAGCGCGCGAGACGCAAAAGAGGTGGAACCCATGTATCGCGCAACGAGTGGGGTGGCGTGGGAGTGGCCTCACGTAAGCCACAGCCCGCCCCCTTGGCGATGTTGCCGCTGATCTCGGTTTCGCCGCCAGGCGGCGCTGCCGAACACTGAGACTAGACTCGACCTTGCCGGTACCCTCACTCCGTATCGCGGCTCCGGCTCGTCGGAACCGTTCGGACTTACCTTGACGCAGCAGAGTCGTCCCTCGTCTCGTGCGCATCGAGCTCCGTTCATCGTCGCGTTTCTTCACGGAGCACATGGTCCCGGAAGATCGCTCTATACTGGACGTTCCTCCGGGAGTAAAGGAACAATTACGAATGGGTGATCCTTCATCAGTGTGATCAGTGGGGAATTGGTTGAGTGCGGGTGCGCGAACGATTAATTTGGTGCTTTTTTTTTTGGTCGTCTCTCGTCGCAGTGCGCCGGGGCGATGTGGAGTATGGACCGCGAAGTACAAATTGGATTGTCGATGATATCGGTAATAATAACGGACTTCAGTGCTAATCTGTGAAGTGACATGGGTGTTACTTGCGTATGATTGTTCGTGGACTGTTGTCGACTTGGTTAAAGAATCGCGAGATGCACCCGTGAGGGCTCCTCCCTCGACTATTCTCGAAGGTGTCACGGAGGGATTCAACCCCCCCACATTAGTGACGTGATATATCGGGAGTGTTGCGGGGGGAGTATAACGTAAGAGAGGAGAGGACGAGGGTGGACGAGCGTAGTAGAGGTGGAAGGAAGAGAAGACCCGAGTCACAGCGGACGCCATCTCCGCGTTATCGGCAAGCGGACCCCTCGGGACTCCCCCCCGAGTAACATCGGCGTCGCGCACCCTCAGCGGGAACTACCCCGCGACAGCGGCCACACTGATGGGAGTGTATGAGGAGCGCGCCCCTCCTACCACCGGCATGCACTGGGTGAGTGTCATCCCTGTGTCCGCGTTGCCCATTGGCCGCTCCGCACCAGCTGGTACACCCCGCCGGGGCGGAAGCTCCCTGTTCAGATTGCGAATCTGCGATAGCATCTTCGTGAACATTTTTCTCCTAATCGAATTCAAGATGGTGAATCTCGTACTGCTTGCATTTTTACGAGTACTTAGGAACGAACTTTTAAGAGCTTGCTCTTTAATTGATAATTTTAATCAATCCCAGTATCAGGATTCGTTGTTTTGTGTAACGGCACGGGGTCACTTCTGATAATATGCATTGTGAGAATGTAGGAGTCACGAAATAAAATGACTTATTTACAATGCTGTAAAAAAAATCAGAAGAATAAACATTTATTTAAATTATCTGCTAACATTTTTGGCATGACGAGGAAGGTCTAATCTAAAAATCAATGTTAATTGCACTTTTTGTTAGAGTTCTATAAATAACCGAGTAAGATTAACTGTTTTTTTTTGTTATATGTCTTTTTATCTTTCTGATATTTTTAAATACGAACTATGTAAATTGTGTGTAGTGTTTATTTCAGAATGGAAAACATTCATATATTTTTTATATAATTTGTAATTGAAAGTAATATACACATATATTGAATATTTTTATGGTTTTATCTAACAATTATAAAAAATGGAAGAAAGATTGAGAGAAAAATTGTTACAATAAAAGACTTTTTATTTGGACTCCAAATGTACATTTTCTAATCTTCATAAATTGTTCGTGTCTCTAATTTTTCGAATTAATAATTTTTTTTAAACTAATATTTTTAAGTAAGAATATAAATTCATTTAGGAAAAAATATCGGAAAATAAATTTACTTAATTCACAATCAGTTACAAAATCTGCATAGCACAGAATCTTAAAATAGATTAGTTGGATAGTTTCTGTATTAGTTAAACTACGTATACGTAGACAAATTTATGCCTTGTATAAGTAATAGCCACTCGCAACCGTTGTAAAAGTGATAAATTTCTCTCTTGTCTTATATTAATAGTTTTCTCTTCCTTCTATAATTCCTGTCAGCTATATTTATAACACAGTCTATGCATATTTTCTATATTTTGTTACATAGTAGAATGCGCGCGCGACTGACATGAAATTACTTGTCAAATGACCACTTTTACAGAATGATGTATCTATATTGAAAGTCTACATATTTTTTTAAATAGCACCAATGTTTAAAATCTGTTAATGTAGAATATTGTCCGAAAATATGATTAGCCGATGAAATCTGCAGTTTTACGTGATAGCTTTGCCAAAACCAAACCACAGTCTTCGTTCCAAGTAAGAATATATGATTTTATACGAGCTCAGCTTAAAGAATGTAAATTTTGATAACAATACAGAATCTTTGCAGATATAAAAGTGATCTCTCTGACTTCGTGTGATTATAGGGTTTCATAATTATTATCATCAATACAGATGATTAAACCTTGGCCTCTTAGAAAAAAGTTCTATGTGGACTTTGACTTCCTTCTAGTTACAATCGTAATTTTCATAGAAAAAGTTGTTGTAAGCATCTTGTGGTTCAATATTTACTCTGAGGGACCGTTTTTTTAAAGCTTGTTTAGCATTGCTGTTATTTAGAACAAGGGCCGACGCTAGCAGAATTTTCGATGGGCGTTCTCTAAAGCAAACAGCCATAAAATATTTTGAATTTTTATTTCATAAACACTTTATAATTAGTAAACTATAGAAATTATCTAAACATAAATTGACAAAGTTTGTAATATTATTTTAAACGATATGTCATCACGATATGTTAGGATATACTTCTATATTAATAGGTATCTACAAATCTTTTTGCCATAAGTTACGATTTAAACTAAAGTTCGTTTTTGTCGATTATATTAATATGAAATTGTGAGGAATGCAATAAATACAAACGAATCCGTTACTTTGAGAAGATTATAAATCTTTACTCATTAACTTTAATCATTAACTTTTTGAACCACAAAGATGGGTTTACATTTGATATACTGATTTATTTAATAATTTATCATTAATTGGCACACATATCTTCTAGTTGGGAAGTAGAATTTAAAGCATAATTATATCGGAGATTGACATTTGGAAAGATTATCCAAAGGTCATGGTGCGTATCATATTGTGTGATAAATACGCAAAATGACTGATCTTGTCTTCTGCGAAAATTTGATATGATTAATCAACCGCCAGCAGATACTTGCTAATTAATATTAATATTATCAAGCTTTTTGAGAATAAAGAATAAAATCGCAAATAGAGAAATAAGACTAATCATAAATAATTACGTATTATATTGGGGTGTTCTCAGAAATGTCGAATTAAATTCTATCAACAATCAATAATCTTTTGAAAATTTTTGAAATAGTATTAAAAATATCTCATGCTTGATCGTTCTCTGAACACAAAACTGTGATTGCTAACAATTAAGTGAGCTAATGTGAAAACTCGACAGACAATAATTATTCTGAAGTAACAGGATTACATGGCCAGGTGTGATAACATGGTCCACCTTCGAGTAACATTAATTCGCTCTTAATCAACCGGTCGAGGCCGTCGTAAGTAACGAGTACTGCTTGTAAACAAACGTAATTGATTGTCCCTTGTCGTCGATTAATTAAACTGACGCGTTAATCACGCGTACGCCAATGGAAGAAGCGTAAAATAACATTGCTAAAGGAAATTAAGATTTTTTTCGTATAAATTTCAATGAGTCATTAATAATTAATGTTCAATAAAAAAGACATCCAAACAAACACATTTATATAAAAAATATATTATATTTCTTCTTGAAAGTCTCCACGAATTATTCAGTTAAAAAAATTAAGTATTATTAATTGTGTGTGTGTGTGTGTGTGTGTGTGTTTGTGTGTGCTTTTGTTTTATATTATAATGTTCCATTGAAACAATTAAATGGAATTTTAAAGCCTAAATTAAAGTTATGTCAATATATTGTGCGTTTTAAAATTTAAATTTGATTTTCGGATGTAAAGCTTTCGGAAGTACATAACAAAAACGATATTCAAGGCTGTTTGTAGTGAAGATTATTATTTGTTGTCAGAAAAATTTACAGGGATATTTTTTGCCTAATTCCATCTTAATAAAAATTCATTAACATAAAAAAATTACAATATAAAGTTCCATATTATATTTTATGTTTAAAATTTTTCATAACATTCTTTTTTTAAAAAAAATTTTACAGTATAAATAAATTCATATTATGATATTACACAAGTAAATCAATAGATTTATTTATATCTATTAAACTTATATAAACAAAATTAAATTAATAAATAAATTCATTCAACTAATTTAGATTTAAATTAGTTGAATGAATTTATGCATTTTCATTAGCCATTAATCAAGACTGAAATATGAGAGTTGCAAGGACTGGTTTTGAGCTTATATTATGCATAAGTTATATCTCGATTTAAATATACTTTTTGTTCGATATATGTAGCTTAAGTAGAAATACGATTCTTCTTAAACTTGATATTTAAGATTTAAGATATCTTTTTGGTCTTGTATAATAATAAAAGTGTTTCATGAGAGAGAGAGAGAGAGAGAGAGAGAGAGAGAGAGAGAGAGAGAGAGAGAAAACAAACACGCATATTTTGTACATATATGTCCATTCAACATTTCGCAGACGCTAACAAAACGTCGCAAATCGGAAGAACTAATTTCCGGGTTTGTTCCGGGAAAGCGTTTATCAGCGATATCATTCGATTTGGCGTCGTTTAGTCTCACAGCGCGAACGTCGTGATTTTTCCGAGGACGTCCGCTTGCAACAGTAGGAGAGAAAGTGAGAGGGGACGATCAACGTAGCTTCGATGAGATAAAAGGCCATCTTGCTGCGAACGTGTCTGGCTACGATAGCGCGCGCGTTTGTGACAAGTGTAATTTATTATACGGGTCGAGATTATGTCTATCACGCTTTCTTACCCGTCTCCTACCCTCCCTGCGAGCCACAACTACCGTCGTGGTAGTCGTCGTCGCCGCGGCCAAACGCTCGACGTTTAACTTTGCACTCGAAACCGCAACCTGGTCGGCTTCATGCTGCACTTGTTATTGACGTTATCATGTATTTCAGAAATGGATATACGGGGTGTCGCAGAGAGAAATGTTTCCATTCGACGACGCACTCAACGAATGTCAACCATTCTTTACGTTATCATCGATGCATTTCTCATCTGGCATTTCTCATTTTTTTCCCAATATTATGTAATTTCGTGATATTCTTTTAGTTTATAAAGAGTTGTTCTTCAACTATCACTCTTAAATCTTGCACCTCTAAACAGGTGATTATTCAAATTGCATAATAAACAAATCATTATCATCTTCAAAGAGTTATATTTATGGATTTTCTTTTTTCTTAATTTGTCTATAAAAATAACTGTTTCTACGCGCGGGCTCATTTTAACTCAAAAGCATCTCGAAAAATGCCATTTTCGGAAGAAATCACTTTTAAATTCAATTTAAAAAAATGTGATATGATAGAGTAATTTTATTAGTGGATTCGTTTCCAGCGACAAAAAATCTAAGAGGGATCTAAGAGATCACCTCTTTTCGTGTAAGTATAAAATCCGTGTTGGACAGTTTATTAATAATATTGGTCCAAATCTTGCGCATCCCACTTTTATGACATTTATGCGGTTTACTTAATTTTCCGACGGAATAGAATTTCTCCGTCTGATGCGATTTCGATGGAAATCAATTTCGATAATGTGAGGAGAGACGAAAAGCTTGATGGTGTGACGACGCCATCGCGATGCTACGAAGGAAATATATAAGTTATTATTCGGCATTTGATTGCTAATATCGCAGAAAATATAATAAATTGAAAAAAATATTTTCGTTTTAATAAATGATTTAAAATCCAAGCAATAAATATTGAAGTTGTTTGATATTAAAAATTAACGATCGGTTGAGTTTCAAGGAACACGTAATTTTATTTTTTAATAAATCAATTTGCTCAAATCTGCATCTTAAAA